ACAAGTTCAAGAAAATTTGGATTACTACTATACATGAAAAGACAATGGTTAAACATTGAAAAACAACAAAAAATTAATTCCTATAAATAATATCTGAAAATAACCACTCTTCACCTGATGAAGGTCAAAAGACCTGAAAACCCTGTAACAAAAATATGGAAAATAAAGTATATATATTTTTTAAAAATCCACATTAAAACCAAAAACATTTGTAGATTCTCTTCTCTTTAATATATTGAGGCTAATAAAGAAAACAGTAACCAGCGAGTAAATTCAAGCTCTCCCAACTGGTATTTCAACCTTGAGTCGTTCCTTCTTGAGTTCTGTCTCAAAATCACACTAACTGCCTGTTCTTGCCGCCAACCGTGAACGTTACTCGAAGAACTCCCCGACTCGGAAAAAAGTAGTTGTTTTTATAGTTGTCCATATACCCATAATCTCTTGCGTCTTCATGTGATCCCATAATTCATTGCGTCCATGTCCCATAATGCATTGCATCTTTATTGCATAAAAATGCAATGCCAGTCCCCCCTCATTCTTTTACGTTATCTGGCCGAGGACGGATTACGGCAGAGCGGTAAGTGCTTTTTTCTCCCTCATTTCAACTGCAGTAGCTTTACATGCTAAGCAAATACGGGCTCTTTTTTGGCGGGGACAAGGCAAGTCATGACCAGTTGTGCTTTCGTCCCAGGTTCTGTCTCATGTCTGCCACACATATATATATAAATATATATATATATATATATATATATAAAAATGCACACATGCATGCACTCCCACTAAGCATATGCTTAACAAATGCATTTGCATATATGTGGGGAAATGATGGGTAAGAAGATTGTGTCCCATTCAAGTGGTAATGGCTTGCTTGCCTTAAAAATTTGCGTCTGAGATGCTAGGTTTGCACACCAACATGACAATGATGAGAAAAGATACAATCATCTCACTCATCTCATTATTAGCTGCTTTTAGTTTTTCCTAATTTTTATCAAATGAATAAAAGAATTCAGAGAAATATTTGCACTTTTCACACGTCATATTACACATATGTATCAATTAGATTACATGTCATTCTTACAATGTAGCAACAGTTTCATGAATTTTCACAGACTCTTCAACTTTCATATTATCAATGGAATTATTAAAGCTTCATGAAACATAATGCTGAAATTAAAAATTATAATTACAGAATATTTACTAATTTTACAAAAACAATGATTTGAAAAAAAAAGTTCAAAACTATATAAATATCTAGTGAATCTATATATAGTACATCTGTCAGATCTAAAATAGCCATACATTAGCTGACTGAAACCAAAAAACAGTTTAATGATTAGAATAACAAATATTTATTTAATAAAAATGCAATATTGTTTTTTGCATATCTTTTCTCACTCTCTCTCTCTCTCTCTCTATATATATATATATATATATATATATATATATGTGTGTGTGTGTGTGTAAGAATTCAGTTCCTAGTTCACCATGCATTTGCAAGAACTATAAACAAATTACAAGGACAAATGATTCAAAAAGTTGAAATTTGGCTCCAGAAAGAAATATTTATGCATGGCTAGTTGTATGTTGCAGGCTCAAGAGTAAGAAATCCAAAGAATTTATTCTACATCATTAAAAAGGGAAAAAAATCTGAAAAAATATTGTTTACCATGAAGTCCTACAAAATTAAATTAAAGAAATTATTAAACCATGAAGTAGGATTTTTGTTAAAGTATTTTTCCAAACAAATCAGTTTATTCAAATTTCATTGATTGATTTGTGAAATTGAACAAAACATAGAATTTTTAAATCTCAACAAAAAATGTTAGTGATAAATTCAACAATACTAAATAGTGTGAGTATTTTCAAAAAAAATTCTAGTAAATAAAAAGTTCAATGACTCATCTCCTGACTTATAGTTTCACTGAGGTAAATCCACACACTAGGGGTAAGATAAATGTGTTTGTTTATTCACTATTAATGTTTCATTTCTTAATACTGAGCAAGAACCTGCTTGCCTTAGATGAATTATGTGTCAGTAATTTATTAGTCAATGGGTTTTTGTTAGGAATAAACAATCTTTAAAATTATTAAGTAAATAAAAGTTTATTGATATTTATCATTGCTTTTTAATCAGTTAACCCCAAGCTAAGCAACAAAGCCACATGAAGTCTAGGCATCATAGAAGAAAGTTTATCAGAACAATTACCAGGAAAATATTTATAGAAAAGGCACAGGGCAATTACATTATGGTGGTGGGAAAGTGACTGAAGCTGAGATTTCATGTATATAAACATTTCCGCAGGTCCTAAGACGCAATCGCAATGGTGAGGTAATTTGGAAAATTATTGAAAATTTCAAAAAAGTTGAATAAAAATCATGGGATATGTAGAAAGAAATTGAAAACATTGGCAAGATAAGAACAAGAAAAAAAACTGGGGTTCTGAATACAAAACAAAACAAAAAATTTTTAGAAAAATTAAAAGTTTAATAAACAAGAAAATCAGCAAGAAAATATTTGAAGTGGCTGGTGTTGCAAATATAAACAAAATGAAAAGATTCAGAATATTAAGAACACTGTCTAAAGACATGCAAGCAATTAAATTACTAGATTTAATTAAACATCACAAGGAGGAAAATATAAGTGGGGTTAAGAAGTACATAAAAACTGATTTCTTAACAGCAAATTTAGTGATTAATGGATAAATCATGGCTGGGCTAAAAGCCAAAATCCTTCAGTGAATTAGTCAAACAATGTGACCAAGAAGACAGCAAGAGGGAGGTGAAGTAATGTTTGGGGTTAGTATTGTAGGCATACATGTGTATGCACATACAAATATACTTTTGTGCACATATGATGCACTCAGTGGAGGAGGGGTGTATTCAACATTTGATAATTTTGCAGCAATATATGCTTAAAGGTTTTAGGCAGTTTTGATCAACATTTCTTTTCATGGTTAGCTGTAAGGAATTGTACCTTACAGTTAAGTAAATTAATAACAATAATAATATTTATTATGAATTTATTACAGGAAATATCAATTTTTATGGAAACATTGTTGACAATTATGTATTTAGTTATATAAGAAATAAATAAAAATAATATAAATTTTGACGCTATATTTGATTTTTTTTCAAGTATTTTTCATTTTCTCCTTTGTTATTGGCAGCATTTTAGAATAATTTGGTTGCAATGGTAAGTTTCCTAAAATGAACAAACTGAAGATATTTCATTTACACTTTGTTACCTCTCTTTTCCATTGTTGTTTTTAGATCACTTTCTTTCATTTTGATGGGCAATAGTGAAATTTAGAATAATCTTATTCCATTTAAAAAATAAAGCCTGTAAAATGGAATATTTTAAATTAATATACGATCAAAAATAAAATGCTTTTGACAAAACACCTTAATGATTTCACTATAATTATGTAACAATAATGTAATGATATTCCGCAGACGAATCTACAGTTTATGTTATCTCATCTCATTACATGGTTATGAACTATTAACCTAAATTGAGCTTGAAATATTGTGTAACCGGCTTTATTTTTTTGTAAAATACTTGGATGTGATATGAATAATATGCAGTAAAAAAAAAAAACAAAAAAAAAAAAAACAAAATCAAAAAAAACAACAATTTTTTTGTTGAATATTCCACGCCCCACCCTCCTCCACTGAACATGTTATATACAAGGAACTTTTTTTAAAATAACATGCCATAAATCATAGGATAGGTGTGGGCATTTTGACATGGTGTAATGGTTAGCAACCTTGTCTTGCTAGATCAATTACGACTGATTAGGGAGTTTGATCCTCACTTTCAGCTATGCTTAGAGAATCACCATAGGATAGGTACTTTGTATCTAGGCAACATCCTAATTAGCAAATACAGCAACTCAGTGTGTTATCAGTTCTATAAGTAGTCAGGAGACCTCTGGAGATATATTGAGACATGCCATCTTGATAGCTCAATGATATTTATACATACTGGATCTTGTATGCAAATAGATGTTTCTGCCATGTCCTATGAATCTTCAATTGAGCTCATGTCAAGCAAATATGGTAGCTGCACCACTTGTTAGAAGTTTCCACAGTGTTCCTCAAACCAATTCTGGACAACTGTGGCTTATTGCTACAGTGCATTATCCTGCTGAAATAATCTGTCATTGTTGGAGAACCATGAACAGGTGCAAAAGGTTACAAAGCATTGTTTAGGTGGAGCAAACTGATGCCGTATCAATACACCCAACACTATTATGGAACCACTAACAGCCTGAAGTTCATGAGGGTTCTACCATACCCAAAGTGTACCATCAACCCAAAAGAAATGAACCCTAACTGGGTCAAACCTAACCTAACCCTTAATCCCAAATAATCTTCAGCCTGAGCATACATGTAATATCAATGGTCTTGTGATGGTAAGCCATCATCAAGCAGACAGGGATGACAGCTATCCACAATGATTTACAAGAAATATGTCAGTTTTATGACAAAGCATGCGGGTCAATAGGAGGTTTGAAGAGTCATATGAGAATGCATAAGGATTGGATAAACTCAAAGGCCGTACATAAGTCTTTCATTTGCTATATATGCAGAAAAAGGCTGCAAAAATGAAATGACAGCTCATTTACATGCACACTACCACTCAATCAAAAATTGAAGAAAGGACCGTCTTCTGCCAAAAAACCCCAAAAGACTGGTTTTATATATATATATATATATATATATATATATATATATATATATATATATATATATACACACACATACTTGAATGTTTACTCACTTGGGCTAAGCCCAATCTCCAGAGTAGCCACTGAGATTATATATATATATATATATATAGAGAGAGAGAGACACATATATATACATAGAGAGAGAGAGAGACATACATACATACATGTGTGTGTGTGTATACATACATACATACATACATACATAATTTTCTTATAAAAGAAAATGATTTTCATAAATTAAAAAAAAATGGTGTTGCTTTTTTTTACCTGCTTTTTCTATAGCTTCTTTAATGACAACTGAGCCTAATTTGGTGACAGGTATTGATGCCAATCCACTGAGGAAAGAAGTAATTGGGGTTCGCACATAACTGGCAATCACAATGTCCTAAAAATATATAAACACATTTTAAACAGCAGAATTAAAGAAAATCATTTTACATCTATACAAAAATAATATTGTGTACAAGAGCGCTAATTAATACAAATCTGATGAACTTAGCCTAGAAACAGACAATGAAAAAAAGAATTGTAATTCTTTGAATAAAAATAATTGTGAGAGAATATTTTGGTTCAACACTGATCCAGAGTTCAAAAATAGGACTGATCGATTCGTTTTTTTTTTTTTTATGGCTTACTAAATCTTTGCAGGTTATTTAAAGCTAGAAAATAGTTTTACATTGTAAGAAACATTTTTTGTGGAGGTGGGGAAGATAGTAGTTTAGTGATACAGGTCTTACTAAAAATGCAGGCTCTTAAATTGTAATTTCTTTTTATTTATTGATGATTCTTTTTGTTATATGAGTATTGCTTCAAGGCTCATAAGTCTGTTTTTGCTATTAGATTTTGATATTAGATTTTGCTAGTATTTTACCATTGTTTCAGGATAGCTCTCTAATGTTAGTATTGTAGTGGACTGTGGGTTTTGTTAAATTAGGAACACATGTGCAACTCCTAATAGAAGAGAGTCCACTACAAGAATATGGTAGACTCAGAGATTGAATCCACCATAAAGAAATGTAAAGAAAACAAACAAGACCTATATATATATATATATATATATATATATATACAAACAAGTATATATATTAATCAACAAAATTTACAATGGACAAAGACATTAACATTTGTGTTTGTGCATAAACGTAAAGAGTTTGTATTTTGATGAATGTTTGTACGTACGTGTATGTGTTTGCATGTATTTCATGGTATTTTCCCACTCTGCGGTAGATCACATTTTTTAAATGTGTCTGCTGAAATGCAAAGTAAAAAGAGAACGAGGCAAGAAATCGCCCAATATTTATAGTGTAAGTAGAGCGTCCCCTAGTGAACAATTTGGACAATTAAGGAGCTCAGTCCGACAGTATGATCCTTAGGCTGCTTGGACAATTAAGGAGCTCAGTCCGACAGTATGATCCTTAGGCTGCTTATTAATTTGTGTTGTATGATTGCACTAGGGTCTGATTGGCAACAAGTGAGTTTCTGTGAAAGTGTGGTCATACTATATCCTATTTCAGACATTTTATGTTTTTTATTTACAACCAAGTATGCAAGTATATTCATATACACCATTGTCATATAGAGGCAGGGGTTGGAAATTTGGCATACTACCTGTCTTTTCTTTTTTTGTGAGGTGATAAATACTATTTTATATATATATATATATATATATATATATTGTAATCTATTAATATATATATATATATATATATATATTATATCTATTATATAATATATATATATATATATATATATATTATATATAATATCTATTAATATATATATATATATATTGTAATCTATTAATATATATATATATATTGTAATCTATTAATATATATATATATATATTGTAATCTATTAATATATATATATATTGTAATCTATTAATATATATATATATATATATGTAATCTATTAATATATATATATATATATATATATATATATATATTGTAATCTATTATATATATATATATATATATATAAATCTATTAATATATATATATATATATATTGTAATCTATTAATATATATATATATATATATATATATATATATATATATATATGAATGAAAATAAATGGCTTTCTCTTTTAATTAAAATTTCAATTTACCCCCATGAAAATGTAGAAAGTGCTTTAATCATGAGATCATCTACAATAACTTTATGTCCAGGTTCTTATAACATTCCCCTTTATTGGCAGATTTTCTATTATTACAATGTCAGATACTTAATAACAAAAAAGAAAAAGAAACTAAATAAAATCAGCCAGACTATATACCCAAAACGCATATTTAAAAAAAAAAATAAATTAAATTTAAACATAAAATATCAGCGTTCCCTCTTTTCATGTGTATGTGTAAGCATATCAACATAAACGTCACTTTAGTCTGATGAAGCCCTAAAGTATGTCACATGAAAAAAAATTTTCTACTTTGTCATAAATTTTCCTAAAATTGTTGTGATATATAAAAGTTTATATATCATTTTCCCATATTTTTTTATTGTAAGAACATTGAATATTGCATTAACAATTTTTTAAGATAAAATGATTTTTTTTCAGAAACAGATTCTACTATTTAACCCTTAGCCGGGAGGAGATAAATTCATACCTTTCCTAAAGGTATTTGCACATATGTGAATGTAATGAACCTAATCAGAATTCAAACTTAGCTCTCTGATTTCCCATTCCAAGCCACTGTCCATTGCATTTTTTTTTTAAAGAAGAAGCAAAAATAAGAAAATAGGAAAACTCACATTTAATCCAGAGACTTGTGAAAAATGCCGACTGAAAACAGGACAGAATGAAGCCTGAAATATTAAAAAGAAAAATCAAACATGTATAGACAGCCAAATTTTATAGTTAGATGGTAGGACTAAAAACAATTTTCAGATATTTATTAATTTTTTTTTTTTATGTGTCATGACCCTTTAGAATGTGGGAGATCATGGCTTTCATAAACTTCCTAAATTTTTTAACTCTAAGCAACATTTGACACCATAATTCTTTGTTCTACCATCCATTTACACTAGTGGTTCCCAAACTATTTTTCTCTATGCCGCATTTTTGGAATGAAAATTTGCACACACCTCACCAAATTTTGTGATAAAAAGTATATTTAAAAGTAAAAAAAAAAAAAAAAGAAACATTGCAGATTAAAGGAAGATAACTGCAGATTTGAAGTCAGACCATTATTATTGATAACTCTTCTTCAATTTGCAGACCCTAGTTACTATATTCTTAATACTTGATATAATAAAAAAATAACACAATGATAAAATCAGTCAATAATTATTTATAACTATTTATACTGGAACTCATACATGCAATTACAAGTAATCCATAATAATATTTTAAATTTTGAATTCATATTTATTTTTGGCATACCCTCACCTGCTACCCTCTTCTGCCGTACCAGTGAGACACGTCACACTGTTTAGGAACTATCGATTTACACAAACTCATTAGTTAGGTTATTCTGTGTTTCCTACCATCCCTATTGTGTTCAATATATATATATATATATATATTTTGTTTCACCCCAAGCAAGGCAATAAAGCCACTAAGGTGGAAGAGGTCACAAATATCCTTAATGGACTTAAACAAGATGCTTAAGACACTTGCATGACACTGCAATCATAATTTTGTCCTGGCAAACACTGTTTCAAAAATAAAAGCATAACTAGCAGAATCCAGAAAAGTTTCATAGTCTTCCTATTTGAAATTTCTGATTAATCATAATTTTTAATTTAATAATTGAATAAACTACCTGCAAATTCCAAAGTACTTGTTGAAATTCCCCTTTAACATAATTAAATATTTGAGTTTAACAATTTTAACAAAATATTGCAATAACAATCATAAGGATGAATGCAGGTATTTAAAGAAGACAATAAAAATAAAGATTCAAAATTGACAAGGTTTTCTATTTCAATGAAGTAGACATTAAAAGCAGGAGAGCATTATCAACTTGTTTCTTATGCATGCTTTCTTTTTGTTAATAAATCCAAACAGTGTCTTCAATATTTTGTTTTATGCTATATCAGTTTCATCTTTTTTTAAATGTGAAATTTTCACACACACATTATATATATATATATATATATATATATATATATATATATATATATATATATATATATATATATTCTGTGTATTTAGGCAGCAAATGAATCTTTAAGGCAAATACTGTTAAAATCAGACATTTTGTGTTTTTTACTTGATTGATTGTCTTTTTCAAGTTACAAATAATCCTTCTCAGACAAGGAAGAATTTCCATTAGAAATTGTCCAAAGTCAATTTCGAAGAAAAGGACAGGAAATATGACTCAAACTTTCGACTTTCTTAATTCATCATCAGGGTAGGTACAGAAAATTGGTGAGATCAGTAAAATTTTGAAATGGTGTAACAATGCTATTTTTTTGAAAATAAGCTGTTAGAAGTATGTGACGAAAGTGCATGGGGGCTCATTTTGGGATCTAAAATCATAGAACTAATGAGTATTGTGACATAAGCAAACTGTGGTGTGACAACTGTTATATATATATATATATATATATATATTTAAAGATGCAGGCTCCAAGCTCTACATTTTTTTAATTTAATATGGTCATTTTTTTATTTAAGGACTATTGCTTCAAATCTCCTAAATCTGTTTTTGATAGTATTTGGGCCTTGTTTGTGAGTACTTGTCTAATGTTACTATGATCCTTTTGCTGCCTATTAATGTGTTATCTGATGGCATTATGGTCAGATAGGTGGCAAGTGAGTTGCCCTGTAAGTGTGGCCATGGTATATCCTATGTAGGATGTTTTGTGTTGTTATTTTTTTTTTTTTTTACAGAGAAACATTTGTTAAGTGGACAAGTATATTTGATTACAAAATTGGTTTTTATATAGGGAGTTGGGAATTTTGTATATATTATTTTCAATAACTAAGTTGTTAGTTTTGAATTTTTTTGTTGTAAATAAAAAAAATTAATGTATAAGAAAAGCAAGAAAAAAATGTACATCTCAATTAATCCCCCCCCCCAGCGATACTTCTATAATATCCTTGCTTTTCCTCTCTTCCCCACTTCTTCCTCCTTCTTCACATCTTCCATTTCCCTTTCTATTACACCCAACGTCATGTGCTGGTTTATTACTTTTTAAAAATAATATAGCGTTCATTATTTTTTTCTTAAAAAAAATAAACTCTTAAGAGGTCAATTGATAAAAATCACCTGAGGATACTGTAAGGTCAAAACCAAGGTTGATGATTCAACTGACCTCCTGATTTTAAAGTTAAAAGCTCAACATGTTATTTTTACTTTTATTTTATTTTTTTTCACGTGTATTGAATGCTTTTTAATACCACTGTTTCCTGGTTTGATTCAACTCTGACCATTAACATTTTATATATATATATATATATATATATATATAGTGTAACCTGGATATAAGAGAGTTGTCGGGACTGGAGAAGAAGTCTCTTATATCCGGGTTTGGTCTATTTTGTTTAGGTAAGTATGGGCTCTAATTTGGGACCAGAGAAAATCTCTCTTACATTCGGGTTTCTCTTATATCCGGGTTACACATACATGTGTGTGTGTGTGTGTGTGTGTGTGTGTGTGTGTGTGTGTGTGTATACACACACTCAATATATGCTTACTTGTCCTAAGCTAAGCTATATTTATAGGGTATCAATGAAAGAATGTGTTTAAATAGTGTAAACTAGGACTGTCTCTTTCATGGCTGAATGCCTAAAGTTGGCATTCAAGCATGAAACAAATTGCTGACACTTTGTAATAATCTCAGTTCCTACTCTTTTGATATATATATTATATATATATATATATATATATATATATATAAAAATATACACTTACATATGTGTGTTAGAACATAATAATGATTGTCATAAAATCATGATGTAAAGTTCTCTGCAACAAGTGTAATTCAAGTGTTGTTTATAATGTTGTAAATAATACCTGGAGGATTGCTTGTTGTATAAAATTTAGTCCCAATTTTACAATGGCTTTTATTGTGTTCTTTAGTATATACTAAATAGTAGCTCTGCTTAGAACACTTATTTTTTACTTAAACACACATACAAAATTATATTATTTGGATATTGTAGTGAAAGAGATAATCAGTTACCTCCCAAAAAAGTTTGTGTTCTCTGTGTGTGATTTGCCAAAGAAAAATTACCAAAATGTAATTAGCAAAAATCTACTTCAATGACTAGAATCTATGCTAATGTTCTACCCTCCTCTGAATGGCGTGACCAATCAGAAAGATCTCTCGATGAACCAAAGATGTTGTTTTTCCCTTATAAAGGCAGAAGATTTTATGAGCTGGGGTAGGGCAGAACATGCATTTTTGCTCATGAGAAGTGAAGGTTGGATGTGTGACTCCATTTTGTTGTTTCTATTTTGCTTGTTGGACTGTTACGATGGGCTATCGTTTGAACTGCGATTTGGCCACAAGTGTTGCGGTCGAGAAACAGAAGAAATTTATTGCAGTTGCTACTATAAGTTGACAGTCTTTTCTTTTCTTTACTACAACAGATATAAATTTATACAAGAAAATTCTGAGGAACCAAAAGGTTTTAAACTTTCAAATATCTTCTTTTTGTAAATAAGAATAATTAAAATATTACACATTTTTATCATACTTATCAATTAATTGATACCAATATTAATTTTTTACTGTTTTTATTCTATATCAATGTGCAGATTATGTGTGCTTATATATATATATATATATATATATATATATATATATATAGGCAGTGGATATTTTCGAGAGGGAAATTAACAGGAGATAACTGATATCCATTAAACATGGCACATGGAACTACAACAGTCTACCCCAGTGAGTGAAATAAAGGGTTAGAAAAAATTATTAAGAAACATAATGCTAATATCTTGAATAAACACTCAGACCAAGACCATAGACTTTTTCATTTGGATCCTCAAGAGATAAGATATTGCATTGGTATACTAATGACAGTATGAAAATAAAAAGAGGGGAAGAGAAACAAAAATTATGCAACTGCAGAAATCCTCATAACTGTCCTCTAAAAAGAATATGTCACACAGAATCATTAGTATACCAATGCAATATCTCATCTATTGAGGATCCAAACAAAAAACGGAAAAGTCTATATTGGATGCACAATGTATGAGTCCAAAAAAGATTCAACCAACATCAAAATTCTTTTAGGATAAATAAGTACCAGAATCAGACATCTCTATTGAAATATTTCTGGCACTTAACAGAAACCAATAAAACATCTACATTAAAATGGAAATTAATAAGAAAAGCTAGAATATGTAGGTCATTAAATGACCCATGTCCTTTGTGCATACATGAGAAACTCTATATTACTAGGTTTATAAAAAATGAATCAAAGAAATGAAATAGTTATTCTTTCCTGACATCGTCAAAAATTTTCCTTAAATAATGATTTTAAAAAAAAAAAAAAAGCTGATAAAGAAATATACATACTTATACTTGATATTTAATAATACTTTTTAAATAATTTAAGTAATTCTATTACATTTATTTGTTTTAAAAAGAAGTATAGTCTATTAAAATTAAAAATAATATTTTAAAATTGTAGTTCAAACACCCCTTTTAGGAAGAATCTTTATGTATACAAACTTAATGAAAAAAGTGCTGATAAAAACCAGACGATATGCATTGAATAGATGTCATAATTCGTTGAAAAAGGCACCCCTACCCTCCCTAGACTTAACCTCTTTTCAAGAGTAACTCATATTTAATACAACAATAGTTGTCAGTATAAATGAACATGCTACCGCCCC